TTTCCATTAATACTGGCGACTGAGCATTACGCTATGAGTGGAAAGGATGCTTTCAAGTTCAAACAATTATTGATTTAGATTATGAATATCCAGACGTAGATGTAGCAAAATTCCTGGAATGATTTGAGTCAGACTGAATCACTATAAAAGTATTAAAAATAATCCCAGAGTGTTTAGGAAATAAAAACAAGAGTTTTCTAAACTTTTTCCTATGTAAGTGACTTTCAGACAAGTTTACTTTAATTCACTCTTTACTTAAATATGTTTTTCAGTGTTGAATAAAATCTGAGTAATTATACTGAAGAATCTGTGACTTAAGCAAATACACGTTGAGGAAAGTCTTGTTTTGACTTTATAAACACGCTAGGATTATGTTAAATAATTTTAAAGTGAATATTTATTAAATATAAAGGCATTTTAACATGTTTGGAAAATGAAAGCCTAGTTTTTTTCTTAATCCCCAATGAAAACTAAAATTTCTTCTCCAAATTAGTTCTCTCTTGCAAATAGTGTGTATGCATCATGATATCTCCAGCCACAAATACATCTATACAGTGTTTAGTCTAACCAGTAAAAAGAAATGTTTTCAAAGACATGTTATTAGATGTTTTTTCGAGTTTTAAACAACAATCAATAGATGCTAAATGAAATTATAAAGTACAGAAACACTAATTTAGTAGAGACTGAAGCAAAATTAAGTCAGTAGACTGAGCGACGTAACATAATTGGCAGGTTTGAGTAAATTTCAAGTACGATTGAAAGAAGGTGATGTCAAGATCATTATTATAAGGGGTAGAGTTACAACAGCTGGAAGAGGAAACAGCTTACGGGTCAATGGTGCGTCGGTGACACAGTGGTTAGGAATCTCGCCGACCATGCACATGGTATGGGGTTCGATACCCTGCCGACGCACACATGATATCTATGGTCGGCCTGCAAAATTTGGACTACCGATATCATATGCTGAAAATTCCACACCTGTACCAAAAAATACGGTGTGGAATCAAGCTGTAATAAAAAAAATAAAAATAAAAGATTAGGTCCATCGTAAATTCAGTGCCCAAACAGACGTTTTTTGAGCAGAGAGTTCAGGAATTATCATATAGATTACCATGGCTTTAAGTGTTTGGAGAAACTTTGACAGTATCACGGTGTACTGACACTGAAGTTGTTTTGTGAGTTAGTTTGGTGTCTGAAATCTATTGGGCGTTCTGGAATAGATCTGCGTTACTTACGCTACTTGCGTTAAAAAAAGAAATACATGGACATATTTTCACTTCTGTAGAACCCCGAGGATAATTGTTTGATTGCAATTTTGGATGGTAAACGCTGAGTATAGTCGGCACGCCTGCCTTCATAGGATCAGACGAACCTATAGATACACACAAATGAGGCCAGCAAGGGTAGTCAGCCTTTAACATTCATTTGAACCATTAGTTTTGTAGAGAGATAGTAAGTCCAAAATTCAGCTATGAAGGTTTCCCTCAATGAACGGGACAGTCAGTTTCTTAGTATTTCAACCGATAAGTCCTCACTGAATTTCGAAATTGGATAGAGAAGTATTTTAAGAACGGGAAGTCTGTTTAGTCTTGGTGGTGTAAGCGTTGAGATTAGCAATTTTTAAAGCCCCTGGCTCATCTTCTATGATGTCGGAACTGTAAATGTACTGGGTTTTGTGACTCAGTAAGCTAGTTACATTCAGTTTTGAATGTAAAGTTACCCAACTGTGGATGTTCTTAGGTTTTCTGTTCTTTGTCTGATTTCTGTGAACGAATCTTTTCAATGTTCCGTTAACACGTCTTGCGCAGTGAACATCTAGGAAGGATCTTTTAAATCCAATTCTTTCTGTAATAAGAAGTAGACCAGAGGGTGACACCTGTTGAAAAAGTGTGGAATACCTTTCAGATTATAGCGAAAAAATTAAAAAGATGGTCATAGCACGGAAAATTGTATTTTGATGATTTCATCAACTGAGCAGTAAATTTGTTTATACATAGTAAAACAGTTAGCAGGTTCCAGAAGTATTTCCAGTCTATAGTCAAATCGTAACGAATAAGATGATTACAAACAAGGATAAAAAAACAATAATAATAGAGACAAGAAGTTCGGATAAAAAAGCATAGTTTGGTTCATGAAGTATCATCCACTTTCCTAATAATAAAACTCATAATTGTTGATCATTTTCTTCAGATATGTATTTTTTGTATCGACATATAAAAGCCTGTAGTCAAAATGCCTCAGGACACACCCGTAGCTGTGTCATCGCTTTGTGCACATATTTCATTATTAAAAAGAGAATTAGACATTTCAGGTGCTTCCCAGAAGAAATCTTTTAGGTAATGAGAAGGATTATCTTTATTTAGTCACTTCGAATCAGTATGTTCGTACGTTTAGAATACTATTTTAGTTGATGGGACATTCGTAAATGGTGAAATCATATCTAGCAGTAACATGACTTGATTAGAAGACATGACGCCATCAATAGAATAAAAAAGACGGAGGAATCTCTAGGCAAATAAGTGGAGCTTTATCATCTGATTAACTTCATCCATTTTACTAAGCATTATGTGAAAGAAACGGTTAGGAGAAATTTTCATTTCATTAACCGAAATGTTGATGTTTAGTGTTGAAGCTGAACCTGAGATATTACATTTGATTTATGAGTTTTTTAACTGTAGTTTATAGTGAATCTTTAGGATTTTATGTGGAATTTAGGGCTTATATAAAGTATGTTTATTTGGAATATTGACAGCTTGGTGTCTGAAAAGTTGAGTATATATTTTCTTGTATTGCTTACGAGTTGATGTCTACTACTATTAGTTTTCAGGCTCACAGATAGCTCTGACAGGGTTTCATCACATTGTTTCTCTGTAGTTTCTTCAACATATTCTTCGAAAGATTGCCGTAGGTCCGGTTCTAGATCGTAAACTAGATGAACTCCGAAGCAGAGTTTTGTTCAGTTTCTTCAATACGTATCCGAGTGGCATCAGTATGGTTCAACATGTGACACTTAACTTTTACGGTATTTGGCTAGATGTGGTTACGTTTTGGTGATTTCTAGTTCATTTTCTGGTATACATATCCACCTAAACATGATTCAGAAAAGTGCATATTTGTCCTGTGTGCCAGAGTCTTGACAAAGTAACGCAGAAAACTATTCAGCTTCTTCGACGTTAAGGAGTGAAGCAACATTTAAATATCTTGAAAAGTCTACATTAAGTCATTAGGAAGCGCCATTGAGCGAAGAGTTACACTTTCCATCTATTTTAAAACATTCCAGTAATGCTTTGAATAACACTTATTAGGTAATCAGGAGTAAACTAATATAGCGTTTATATTTACTTTTAAATAATAATAGTTCAAACTGGTTGACTGAATGATTAGTGTTAATCACGTAAATGAAATCAACATGAATTGTCAGTTAATCTATTTAGATAAACTGTTTGCTCAGTGTGAGCTATTGAATAATAAATATGAATTGTAATTTAATAATAAATGACACGGCAAGCCACTCATTATAAAACTCAAACAGTCTCACCATATTTGTAATTCAGTCAGTATAAGTGAAAAGACATAATGGGGAGAAGCAGACGGCAAATTATCAAATCTGTTAAGAAAAAGTTATCAAAGGAGAAGTATTAAACTGTTACGTTGTCAAGTTATGATTGATTTCAAGGTAGGTTTCGTGATTGGTTGGGTCCAAAAAGTTGTGTATGAAAGTGACAATGAACTTACTGTGACACTCTGTTGCGAACTGGGAGGATTCAGAATTCACAGGTCATTTGATTTCAACCTGTTTACTAAAGGCCATAGGTTTAGTCCCGGTTGGTGTTATGAGTATACACTGTTAAAACGTCTCGAACTAAGACTGTACAGGTTTCCAGAGTCCCCGTGGTTTGAGTCATTCTTTTAGTGATACCATTTTATCATTTGGGACTGTCCCTTTCTTCTATCTTGATTTGCAAATTTGTTGTCCTACATAATTTTAAATTTATTATTCTGTCACTTTAACCAAAGTGTTATCTGACAGTTTAGGTCTTTTTTCTATTAAGTATAGGATGCAGAGTACGCGCTGACAGATTCAAGCCTTCACAGCATTATTAGATACCAGCCTTGATTCGTTCAAAAAATACAGGTACTTCAAAATACAGACGTTTAAATTTTCAAGTTTGATTACGGATTGATATAATTTAGAGAACTATGGAAAATCAAGGAGTACTGGACAGCTCTTTCATCCTAGTTTGAGACTCACTGGCAGTACGCACCTACTGCTTCTTGAATCTAAGATATTCAGGTTGCAAGGAAAGCTAGTAGACCATTCAGTCACTTGGAAATGAATCAATGGCCAGCCCATGAATCACAACTTCTACCAATTCGTGAGTTTAGCGTGATCACTAGCCAATTTCATTGGCAAATACTTATCCTCACTCCCAACGTAATGGACCCCTCTGGTCACGACTTCTCACTGGAACTTCAGGAAACTCTCTCCTGTAACAAGTCACCAGTTGTTAACTTAACTCATTCTAGATGACAATACTACTTGTATACATTACAATTCACAATGTACTTAAATAGCAGAAACTTGATTTGATCATCTTTGTTTCCATTCATTTCCTTTATGCTTGATCTTTAAGTATGACGGAGGTATTTCTTCTACAACAGCAACCCATTATGATGTAATACGAAGGAATTAATGCTATTTGTTTGAAATATCCAATCAGGTAGTTTCACTTCTCTGATTGGCTGGAGAGGTAAAAAGTAAACAGTGACAAATTATTACATTTTCCTCTTCCTGGGATATAAAATGAAATTATAATCTGATATTTTTTGTAATTATTGTGTGAAAAGCAGGTTAATCCTCATTTATCTGATTAAAGGCAACATATCCCCATAGATTTGGTTTTCACTACAGTGAATGATGAAGCCTGTTATTATTGACTGTCTAACGTGATTCTTAAGAAGGCAATACTCTCTAGTTTGTTTAATTACTCATCGACAGAATGAAATCGGAATTATTAAAAGCACAGATTGTTGATCAGCATAGTACAAATTCAAATCACCTGTTACAAGGATATGATAATTTATGCTCTAGTGTGCCAGGGTTAACATCAAGTGGATATTTAGAAGCAATGATAAAATATGTTAAATACTGTGTTGGCGGTGATCATACGGAAGAAATGTTACAAATTCTGACTATTGAATTAACTGAATTAAATTCTCATAATCTACTTAGTCAAAGTGAATTGATTATATTAATTTGTATATATACACTTATGATATTATTTGGTTCATGCGGTTCATTATTTGTTGTTTATATTGTGATCAGAAAGCCTAAAATGCGTACACCACGTAATCTGTTTATTGTCAATTTAGCTATAAGTGATTTAATCCTATGCTTATTTACACAACCCTTCAATTTATTACGCATATTATACTGGCATTTTGATTGGAAATTAGGACAGATTATGTGTAAAGCAGTAGCTGTGGGACAAGCGACAAATATATTTGTTTCTACAATCAGTATTATAGCTATTGCTTTAGATCGCTTACAAGTAAGTTGTTGAATAGTATTTATCAGGCAGTAAAAACAATTTGAAAATAAGGATTGTTGAATATTTTTTCTGATGTTTCAAATTTTTCGGTTTTTTCTTCGTTTTAAAATCCCCTGTTCATTTCAAAGGAAAAAGATATGACACTAACAGAGGATTCACTGGACAGCTCTCGTATTTGCTCGTTAAAACTACATTATATTTCATAAGAACTTTGTGAACGACAGTCATGTTCAACAAAACATAATTAGGTGACTCTGTCTACCTTTTTTTATTCAGTCCTAGTGAAAATTAATAAAAACAGAATAAAGAATTATTATTATTCCCATGGGTTCTGAGAGGAACATAAGGCTTCAACAGAACACCTTAATTCCATCTTGTTCGTTGCAGTGCTCCTTAGCTGGCTGGGAGACTGCCCATAGGTTCTCATTTCCTCCTCACACTGCCTCCTTCATATCACCTTCGGATTCATGCTGGACTAATTGTTTCCCATTTGTGTTCCACTCAGCAACCTGATACGCGGTGTTATTAAGTCGTCTTCCTAGCGTGTGTCTGATCCATCACCATTTCCTTCTGCATGTGTGTTGGACGATCACAAAAGATGTGCTTTGCAACATCCTTTACAATTCCATTTTATCACAGATATTCTGTAGTACTGACACTTTTTCCAGGTTAAATTGACGCAAGCATTTGATCAATGAATGTATACTTCAAACAGGAAAATTGATGGATGTTTTTATACCTCTTTCAGCCTCATTTTTCAGATTTATGCTACATATGGAGGGTTTTGTTACTTACTCCAGTTACGATAGGTTAGAACACAGTTAAGCTACACCCATAGGGGTGAATTAATGACAGCTGTGATTAGTATGCAAGGTTTTACTGCGAATGCATCAACTGATACCTTAAAGTATGTCGAGGAAAGGAAAACGAACCAGCATAAATGAGTGCAGAAGATTAGTTCACCTGGCATTTACTATCTGAAGGAAACCTGAATACATTTTAAATTGCTATGCCTTAATGTATCTACATTCATGTCACCTTTTACAGAATCTATGCATATTTTTTCACTTAAACTTTATTGATATAATAAAGCACCTTTTTTCGACTAGTTTTCATGTCATGGTTTATTAAAATCAAAATATAAGGTGAAATATTTACCGCAACCTTTTATCAAAATGTATGTTGTACCATCAAAAATATAAAACTTAATTTCATGTACTCCTTTAAAGCTAATTTAACTGTTTGCTGGTATACATCACAATAGATACCAAAATATTTTAGATGAAATGTCAATGGTACGTTGAAATGTTTAACAGCAATTTTTTCCAAGTTTCATTTTAAGTAAATTCTTTGAAAAAGCAATTATAAAGTTAATTTTTTAAAAGATTTTCATAAAAGTCTTAAAATATAATAATAAAACATAAAAGTAAATAATTAAATTGACAATTATCTACGCTGATGACCGAAATATTCAGTCCATGCTGGTTATATTTTATGCCGGAAGAATGCTATAAATCAGTATTCAATGTGACAATAGAATAAATGAACATATTTATTTGTTTTGATATATTATCTCATCTGATATTCAATTTGCAAAGTAAGGATTACTATTCAAGGTACAAAATGTCATATAAGATTTGGCTAATTTTTGTATTTCATCATTTCATGATATTCATTACTATTATTATTATACAATATACACCGCATTTTGAACATAAGTACGAAAATATGCTGATCCTGATAGATGAACAGTCATTTGAGTGCCTTCTTTTATAAAACCAACAATAAGTTAGTTGTATTTCTGCCTGTTTGTCTACGACATTCCACCGTGTCCTGATAATATTGTTGTCCAATGAGTTAGAGTTTTGAGAATAAGAACTTTTGAAATTAGGTGACACGTAAATTTTGATACTGCTAACGTAAGAATTATCACTTCTGTATCACAGTTTGTTTTTAAAGTAAAGTATTAATTGGTTTAAGGATTTCATCATGAGCTGATATAATTTAGAGAACCACTGGAAAACCTGCAGGTAGTATTGAACAGAAGTTTCGTCCCAGTTTGGGGCTCTTAACAGTACGGACCTTCTGGTTTCAAGGCGAGCCCATAGACCATTCAGCCACTGGGACCCGATCCAATAGCCAGCCAACCCATGAATTCTAACTTCAGCCAATTCATGACATATCGCCACCACTTTGCAATGTATTCTCCTGTGAGTTACTGCCTCACCTTCAACCTGCTGTACCCTACTGATCACGGCTTCCCACTAGAACCGAGGTTAACTGCCTGAATATGGCTAGTCTCTAGTGAGTATCAGATTAATTTTCAAGTAATGGTTTTGAAGTGACTTTGTTTGATTGGTTGGAGGATTTCATCATGAGCTGACATCAGTTAGAGAACCATCCAACAAAGTTCCTACAAAACCAATACTTAAAATATTGATCGTTCAACACGTCACCTAAAAAGTAATAAGTCTCTTTACATTTCGATGTTACTCTTCTTACTTTGAAATACGATTATAGTCTTAGAATATTTTGAAAACCATTTCTTTAGCGGACCCTCAGAAATCTACTATTTATTGTGAATATATATGCATTGACTGTAATTACATGAAATCCTACTTTTTGACTGGGTTAAACCATTTGATTTTCAAGTGTTAGTCTGCAGCGGGCAGGTAATTTTCGTTTGTTTAAGTACTCGATTTACAGCCTATAGGTTCCTGGTTTGAGTCTTACCCCACTTACTTTAGCTTGGGCAACAAGGTATTATGATCAACCTTTACACAACAGTCGTGTCACTGGTAGCCTAGTACATGTAAATTCGTCTCCGGGTAAATGAATTCAAACAACTGTTAGTTTGATGTGATTTGAATGATTTCAAATGTGAACTGCTGAAGTGTCTTCAACAAGGATGAAGCACTTGTCATTATTCTCCCGTTTTCAGAGATTCACTGACTGATATCCGCTTGTGACCAACAAGATTTAGACATTTTTATTCCTAAAGAAGGTAGCATCGTGATTAACAGAACAAATATAGAGTTTAGGGTGGTATATTGGTAATATAATTAATAAAGGTTTTAGATTTCACCTCACAGTGATAAGAACTCTACCAAGAATATGATATTTTAGTTCATTTGATACATCTATCACGGAAGAGTTATCTGTGATTAACTTTTCCGCCCACAGTCAACACTTTGTTCTACTTTCGTTTGTCACCTTATATATACGTATAAGTATATGAAAAATAATAACAAAGCTTGATAAAGGCTGAGTTGTATAGACTATTGTACTTATATTCAAAGAGTCAAAACTTATCTTTAAGATCACCTTTTTTTATTCCATTTTCTATTTTATTTAATAAAGCTTTTTTGTTTCCTGTAAACTTTATTCATTCACCTACCATAGGTGTTTTCTTTTGTATCTTCCAAATTTGAAAACACACAAAAAATAAACTTTTTTAAAGACATCTACACCTTTGTCGCTTAGCTTGACCTATTTCCTAATAATGTGTATTTTGTAGGCAGATAGAAAGGTCTTTTCCGATGATGTTAACTAAAATATTTCATCGTAAAAGTTATCTATTTTTATTTCGTGATAAGGTTGGAAAAAGAAGAAGAAAAAGTTTGTATACTTAGAATTCATTTACTCCCATGTTTATTGACACATATATATCCATTCTGAATGTAACTATCTGATGAAGCGAATAGAGATTTTTGCTGGTTCATTTTGAAAGGGGAGTTGTGTATCAAAAATCTTCAATGAGCTGTATAAAGTAATTATTTAAGGTAATTTCAAATGAAAGGTTATAGAATTATCATAGATTTAGTCGCACACAGGTTTTGTTTAAATAGTTCACCGATTTCGAGTAGTGTTCATTTGAAGTATAGCTGAATTCTAGCGAAATTTATACTGACTTTTGTCAAATATTAAAGAATAACGTTTTGAACCAATGAATTATGTAGCTTCTTTGCCTCAGTTAGATAAGTTTTTATGCGCCGACCAGCAGTAGGGACATTGTTTGTCGACCTGGCATACTCTTATAAAAGCTAACAAGTTTGAAAATTTATTTAAAGTACTGAGATGAAACATGTAATACACGACTGGGACAATAAAGTATGCTTTCTACATAATGTTTCTGGACCAAGCTGTTACTGGGTTGTGCCTTGATACAGTGTACTAACCCTTATGCTCTCAGAAACCAACCAATCCACTGAGAAAACGTAAATTCAATAGAATCATCTCTCTGCGCTATATATACCTTCGTAAATCATACTTCCACCAAAAAGAAAGTTATGAAATGCACTTACAGAATAAGGATACACTGATGGGTGTTTTTCTCACTGACATTTATAAGTGGAGTAAAATAGCACTTGCTTAGAATTCAAAAGTAGGCACATGTATCTATTTCATCAGTGACATGAGTTTAACTATGCAACATTCGTGATGCCAAACATTAGATCCCTTTACTAATATTGTACACAGGCTACATTACTGAAATTTGTTGATTTTAAATAATCTATTGTCTTTTTTCATTCCGATAGCACTAATTTCACCTATATTTTAGTTTTATCTGTTTATTTGCCTAGATTTTTTATTTCTGTGAGTAAATTCATTGAAGTGTAAAAAATCACTATTTACATTGATGTGGAAGTGCAATTCAGAGATGTGCCTAAAAACATGAAACTCAAATATTACTTCCTGTTTTGCTAAGCTTGAAATTTAAGTAATGTGTTTTCCGATGAAATAACGAAGAAAACAAAAGCAGAATCATGGAGTTGAATTGTTTTTTAAGTAATTTTTCAAGTTGGAATAATGTTCGACATAAGTTCTCTCTTCATATAGCAATTTAATTGCAGTTTATGTATATATATATACCGTTATTAAGTATGATGCTACTCTTAAATTAGTAATAAATAACAACCAACTGAACAATTATCGTACAGGAAACTCAATTTTACGATGCATAATCTACTAATAACGTAAATTATTAGGTTGATATTGTC